GATATTCTCTGTGTGGCAGTGGGTACAGCATTATTGGGGGTTAGAAGTGATGTGTACTTGAAAGTTTTTTCTTAGCAGAGTTTTTGTACGGTTTTTTTTATGTCTTTGTGTTGAAAATGCCTACCTGCTGTCTCCCTACAAGATCTACATGTGGTTATGTCTTTCTAGATGGGTAGGTTATCTAATTCTGATATTCAGCCATTGTAGATATGAATATATATTTATATAGTAAAATATTTCCCTCAGATGATTTTATTCCTCTTAATGGCCTCAAGTTGAGTAAGTCTCAATATCAACTTTAATAAATAAAAATTTTATTCACAGAGCACATTTTCTTTATTAATTTTGCCTCTTTATCATTTAATTCTATTCTTGCAATAACCCTTTGGGTAAATAAGGCCAATTAGTTCCTTTTTTACAGCTAGCCTGTTTACATCAAATGGAGACAGGATACTTCACTGGATTGCCTTCTCTCCACTTTTATGAATTCCTGCTCACCTGGGGCCACCCAGTTAGTAAAGGGTGGTGGTAGAATTAGAACTCAGGCAGTACAGGTGATACTGTGCATATACCATATATTAATCTACTTCCAGTGGAATCCTATTGCCAAACACTTGAATATTTCTACATTCAATAATATTAAGTACAATATATAAAGATCCCACGAAACCTATCTGTTCAGGTCAGGTGTTACTGCCAAGTGGTTTTCAGATTTTGGAGTTGCAGATAAGGGATTGTGGAGATGTATTCCTCTAGCCCTGGTACTCTCCACCAGTATATGGAGCAACTAATCATTTAATAAACAACAACCACTTGCACACTTTTTCTCTCTTCAACGTTTCTCTGGATAGTAACCTGCTGGTAGTCTTCAGAAAGAATAATTAATCCCTAGAATTTTCTCCATCACCTTCATTATGCACAAGTTGCAATTCTCTTCTTTCTTTCCCTACTGAGAACTAAGTTATATTTTATACAAAACCACTCAATTTTTCACCTGTTTATTCTTTCTCTTTCAGCTTCTCCATATCACAGAAAATTCAAGAAGGGACTGTGTGTCAAAGGAGGGGGGATGAAGGGTGCTAAAAGCCCCTAAAAGAGAGTGGTATTCTTAGTAATAAACTTAATCTTGTCATAAATAATGAGAGTCCCTTCTAGGACATTCTTTCTCCATTCGTTTCCTGAACCAAACATGGTATCTTACATAGAGTGGACATTCAATAAATTCTTTAGGCAGAAAGGAAGGAAAGGGCACAGGAAGAGTAGGAGGAAAGAAGGAAACTTCTATACACTTGCTTAAGTAATTGAGGCAACTAGATATGTGATATTTTTAGGAAGGAAAACAAGGTGTAAAATGGGGAGTAAAATACTATATTAAGGGACCCTAGGAATTCCAAGTAAGGACTGGGGATTGGGACTCTAAGGAATTTCTTACTCTTTTTGGTTCTTAACTTGTGTTCTCTCCTATTCCTTGTTCCTTATCCAGGAATGATAAATGTACATATTTCACTTGGTGATATTCACATTTGAAATCTGATCACGTATCATTCTAAATTCAAGAACTCAGTGAATTCTTTTATATAGTGGTATTTTCTATTGATTAGTCCTTGTGAAAAACATGAAAGGTAAAACCGTACCCCCCAGTTTTGTACTTAAAATACTTCTGTGAAACAAGTCCAGATATCACTATCCCAGCTAATTTTTTTTATAGTGACTTGGTTCTCAGACACTTCCCTCTTTCCAGTTTCATTGTAGTTTTTGCTAAGGGCTTGGCGACTTGAATGACAGCTATATTTCCAATTGCTTTACAACATTTTATTTCCAGTACATATCATCTTGCAATGTGTTCCCTTGTGACACATTTCAGGATCATTAAATTAAAAATGGAAGGCATAGTTGAAGATTGACTGCTCTCTAATTACCCAGAGTGTTTGTCAAAGGCAGTAGGCAGGAGACATAAGCTCCATTTTGCTGTTACATGCACTGTCAGGTTTACAGCACATCTCTGCTACAATAGAAGACTTCCCCGACTAGTATATTTAGTGGAATAGACCTTTGCAACTGGGATAAATCCCCCTCAGCATCAGAATAAACAGACAGTGAAGAAAATGATCTAGTAAACAAATTGGTTTATCTATGTCTTAAAAATAAGAAGCCTATCTAGAATCAGTGTTTCTCAACCATTTTTCCCCTTATTGAGACTTTTTAAATATATTTTACTAATAGCTCAGCTATGAAATTTTAATACCATAGCTATACTATGTATCTGTTTATGTACTGTGGTCCTTTGGAGGACTACAAACCATTATAATATGTAAACTTTTCTCTCTCCACCAAGAACGGTTTCCATCCTCTTAGGTTATGCTTGCTAGTACACAGATTGAACTCAGATGATGTTTTGTCAATTCTATATGCAAAGCTACCTTATTCTGGACTATACAACTCAAGAGGAGGTAAGATAGAAAATGGTTCTTTAATAAATCATTTACAATTGAGAGATCAAATCTCATTCCTCTCCTAAAAATAAGGAAACTCTAATAATATTAAAGAGTATATGGTTCCCAAGTAAAAATGGTGTCCAAGTCAAAAAATCTTGCAGCCACAAATTCAAACTTCTCCACATAGAGAGAGGCAGGCTTTACTCTCAGAAGGGATAAGACTATGAGCTTGCAACAACTACCAGCTCATGTGCTTGTCTATTAGCACATATTTATTGAGCTCTGACTATGTAGAATTTTAGCTCTATGAGAACAGGGACTGTGTTTGATTTTGCTTACCACTGTAGAATAAAGGAAAGAAAAAAGGATGGGCAAAAGGCAGGGAAGAAAAGAGAAAGACAAAGCACTATGCTGAGTGACTTGAAGACTGCCTCTAAGAATATTTAGGGTGAAGACAGACATGTAAACAAGTAAAATATTGTAATAATGATAATTTTAAAAAGTTGTACAGATATGGTAAGGTTACAAAGCAGTGGCTAATTCTACCTGGTTAGAGGTGGTAGCAAACTGAACTGGGTTATGAAAAAGTTTAGAGAGACAAGGCTATATTAGGACTTTTGTGGGCCCTACAAAACTCTTGGTTTGTGGTCTCCTTCTTCCATAAAACACATTTAAATATAATTATAGTACAATAAAATGAGCATAATGAGCTGAGTATTCTAGGAGCACATAGCCAGGAGGTCCAGCAAAGACCTCCAGGAGGGCAAGATGTTTAAGGGAGACCCTACGGATAAGCTGGAAGAGTGGCTGAGAGATAGGCACAAGTGTTCTAGGGAGAGGGAGCAGCTTGTTCAAAGGCCTAGAAGTGAGGGAACTAGTATGGCTGATGAAAGAAAGGCAAAGAGACAGAAAGGGGAGGAGGGGGGAGGGATGGAATTAGAGAGGAAAGTGAAGGTCGAACTACAGTTGGGCCCTTCACTTGTTAAGAAGTCTGGCCTTTATCCTAAAGATAATAAGGCATTTAGTGAACACACAATAGAGTATACAGATGCCATATTATAAAGTTGTGCAACTGAAAATTATATGATGTCATTATCAACTAGTGTCATCAATAAATTTAATTTAAAAATAAATAAAAACAAAAGCTTCTATGTTAGGAACTAACAGGATTAAGTTTACATTTTGGATATTCATTCAAGCACACTGTAGCCAATGGACTGGGTGGTGTGGTGGATATTCTGAGGGTCCGCCAGGCTCCCTCTCAGGGCCCATGTACCCATCCCCAGCTTCTAGAAATACTTGTTTTTGAAGGTTCACAGATGAGTCCTTCAACGGGAGTTGCCCCCAGCCACAGGGAACTCTTTCCACGGGCAGACCCTCTCCAGGCAGCACCCACAAGCATAAGTGGCAAACAAGATACAAAGGCCCAGCCATCTTCTCTCGATCAGGGACAACCTCAGCTCCTAAGCTCCCTGAAGGACCTGCTGAGGCCTCTGATGTAACCGTGTTGTTGGTCTCTTCTTCCTCTGCCTAACCCTACCTTACTAGTAGCCTATTGCTGCGTAACACATTACCGCAAACCTGGGAGCTTCAAAGACACGCATTTATCATCTCACAGTGTCCATGGGTCGGGAGTCTGGCCGCAACTTAACTGGGCCCTCTGCATCGGGCTGCACTCAGAAGTGTTGGCCAGACTGCATTCCCATCTGAGGACTTGACTGTGGAAAAACCCACTTCCAATCTTACTCTAATTGTTCAGAGAATCCACTTCCTTGTGTTTGTAGGACCGAGGACCCCGCCGTCTTCCTGGATGTTGATTGATCGGAGGCTGCCTTCAGTGCCAAGAGGCCACCAGCAATTCCTAGAGGTTGCTCACAGTTTCTTTCATGTGGGCTGTCCCAACATGGCCCCTTACTTGATCAAGCCAGCAAGGAGAGTCTCCAGGACAAATCTGCTAGCCAGACAGACTCGGACATAATATAATTGCAGGACTGATGGTTCATCCCCTTTGCTGTATTCTATTCATTAGAAGCAAGTCACAGGTTCCATCGTCACTCGAGGAGTACGGATCATATGAAGGTGTAAACATCAGGAGATGGCAGATACTTTAAAGGCCGTCTGCCACACTTGCCTTCCTCACTTCCTACAGGTGTAGTTTCGAGGGCAGTCCTCAATAAACCTTCGGCATGCAATCGTCCACCTTAGAGTTGATATCCAGGGAGCAATGCCGGAGGCAAGGCAGTGAGCTAGACACTATTGCGGCAATGGCAACTATGGGCAATAGCAGTGGGAGACTGAGTAATTAATTTTCTTTCTATTAACAAATGTATAATAATTATTATAAGAATGACACATGGCCTATCTGTAAGGAAAACCAAGCCTAAAAATTACAAGGCGTCTTCAAGCAAGGATACAAAACAAAAATAATTGATTTTTAGGGCTGTAGAACAGATTAATATAAATAATAACAATTAGGCTTATTATGTTTCACGGTGTGAAAATAAACCTCAGACCACAGTCACACAATCAAAAAGAGATAATTAGCACTTTATTATATTAGCCTAGATTGTACTCTTACAAATTGCAGGACTACTCAACAAACAGAGCTGCCCTATTAGAGACTGATAGAAATTACACAGGCAACTGTTGGTATAATTACAGGATCAAATTCCACCTTGTTTATCAACACTCCCATTTTTATCCATCCCATTTACAATAATTACTTTTATTCTTGCTTATTTCTTGTCAGATACAGAGTGATATAAACAATATTCAAAAGGATCAATTTTCAATGATTTCTACACCATATTATAGGTATTTGCCACTGGAAAAATGTTTTTCCTTAGGTCTTCAGAGTGTGAAATATATATTGTGCCCTGACCTTATTTTTAATGCTTAAATACTGATGGGTTTTTAAATCAAGAGTTACAAACACCAAATGACTACACTTACACATTGCGTTGTCAGGGAAATATTTTAGAATACTTGGAGTATTCAACAGCTTATGATTCCAATGGTATTCATGGGTATAACTGATTGCCTTGCACTTTCGTGTGCATTCAAAATTTCTTACAAAAGAAGAAAGGTGAAAAAAAATATGTAATCTGCCCTTGATAATTTGTGGTGCTCAACAGCTGCACAGAAACAAGCGTTGAGTTTCTTGGGAAGCAAAACTGCAGCCCTTTAGAGAGGGGTGAGCCGCTCATCCTCTGTCATAAAGGTGTCATTGATGTGCCATCTCTTCGAGTCCAGGGGGTCACAGGGGATGCCATTTTCAATTGTGACGGTGTTTTCGCACTTATCTTCAGCGTCCTCCACTTCAGATGGTCCTTTGTTCTTCCTAAATGCACATAAAAAGAATGACTGGGATCTAGGAGGAGAAAGCATGGTCTTTTGCACAAACAGGGAGAGCAGAAAAGGAAAGGGGAACCTTAGAATGATAAAAAAAATTGATGCCTGTTTATTTTCAAATAAGCTTCAAATATCATAAAGAGCTGATGTGGTAAAAAGATGCTACCAAGATAAGACGTCTACATGGATGATAAATACATATTGATTAAAACGAGTGGTCTTATTTGGAATACTAAAATAAATATATATATGAATATGTATATGTATATTCACATGAATGAATGTTTGTATATACACATATATATGTATCATTCACACACATAAACTGCATGAAGGAATGTAAGGAAAATATATGGTAAATTGGCAAGTTAAAAAGTTTAGCTCTAGGAGGACTTCACAAAAATCGATTTTAAAAAAGTAACAGATTCCTCTCACAGGATTTGACAAATGAATGGTCTGCAAATGTTAAGTGAAAATCAAATTGAAATGAGATTATCAAGGAGCAAACTCACATTACTTTGTCGAAAAGAAGTAACCATTATAAATTGCAGGTATCACTGCCTGGTTCTACTCATTACAGAACAGTTGTGTTCATTTGTAAGCTGAGTTTTTGGAAATCAGAACACACTTCAGTGATTACTTTATAACTCATAGCTATAATTCCAGGTCATTCTCCCCAAAAAATCCTATATGACAGGATAAATTTTGAGTTTCTCTTTCTCAGACCCTTTGTAGACCCTGCTACCCCAACCCAAGTGGTAACCAGACCCTTAATATTTCCTTGGAGTGTGGAAAGCTGTATCCTTTAATTCAAAGGTTCTTCCTTTCTTTTGTGAAAGGCCAAAACAGATGTGAGCCAATTATGATTGATATCATAGAGTTAGGGGGCAAAAAAAAAAAAAAAGAGGTGGGTACCTCTAGACAACCACAGAAAGGAAGATTTCTCCCTAAGGCTTACCACAATTCACGTGTTGGGCACTGTGGAGGCATGTTGTTAAGCCTAAAGTTCCCAGGTTTGCCAAAGATTCTATTGTGCCAGAAACCTAAGGAAACTCCAAAGAGGCAGAGCTCAATGGATCACATGGCTGGGATGGTGGGCACTGCTGTGGTGACCAAGAAGGACTCCCACCACCAGGAAGGTCCCGTAGAACCTTAGTGAGTCTGTGACATGTGAGGAGGTAATGAAGACGCCCCAATGATGACTGAGGTAGAGTTTCCTATTAGTCCTATGTGAAAGTCCACTTTAATGTGCTTTAAAGAATATGGTGGAGGAAGAGAGACAAGAATCATGTTTATGAAAGAATGGCAGCTGATACAGAAGAAATAACAGAAATAGAAAATTGCTACTACAATAATAATTGATTCTGATGAAGCCCTCAATGTATAATAAACCATAAAGTGAGACATAGTTAGGGAACAGGTTATTTTCATGGTCTCAATGTATCACCCCCACAAGCAATGTACTAATTATAAAGAGACATTTGTATTTTGTCAAGGGAGGAATTTGTTGAACATCGCCAACAAAAAATCCATCCAATGTGACAAATTGACAAGTGAGTGCCTCCAGATATGACAAACTAAAATTATATATATTATATATTTAATTCTGTGTTCCTGCCCCACATCATCTCCAATTTTTTTAACCTCTCTCAGAAGGAGTTAAATTGACTCTCTCAGGAGGAAATAATCAGGAAAATAAAAATCCAAATTTAAAGATATTTTGTAAAACAGCTGATGTGGGCTCAGCACAGAGTAGGCAAAGAATTGGATGAACAGATACATAGGTGGCTGACTATCTAGTTAGACAGATGGATGGGTGGATCATTGAATGTATATCCATTGCTGATTGTCTGGATAATAAATTAATGGATGGATGGATGATACTGTAGACAAAGTTACTCAGACAGTAGCCCAAGGTAGATCTTGAATGGGATCCACTGGGAGGAAGGAAGAAAGGAAGGGAGGGAGGGAGGGAGGGAGGGAGGACGGATACATATGCATGTGATATTTCTTGTATCTCTTGTTATTTTCTCAAATGGATAGAGAAAAATATTCATTTTCCTACCTTAGGAATTAGGAGTTAGTATAGATTTTGCCAGGCTTCACTGATAACTTTTATTAGATAATTCCAAATGGCTGGAGTTCATAATGAAAGGTAAAATAACATCCAATAGTGTAGATCCTATTGTCATCACTTGAAAGTGCCATTCTATATGCCATTGTCAAATGTGTCACTACAGACCCAATGCTGGGTTGAAAGTTGGGGGTTTTAGTCCCAGAGACCTAGGAAAGGATAGGCTGCTGTGTTTTTCCATCCTCAAAGCGAAGACACTGCACTGGCTGGCTATTCTAAGCTCCAGAAATCAGCAATCAGTGCCGGTTAGGGTGGGCATAGAGTGTCATGTGATAAGGACCTCCAGCCAGGTAAAGTCACCTACCAGAGGACTAGAATACTTTAGTCCCATCTCCTGTGGACAGGACTATGGTCACTTTCCATGTCCTCCAGAACACAAAAGCAATTGATATTCTATAACCATCAGTCATACCACTCCATTCTTAGTATCCAACATTCATTCAATAACAATGTTTTAAGTGCCTACTGTGTGTTGGAAGAGATACAATCCATGTCCTAAAGTGAAAAGAAAGGATTCAATAAAAGGGGAAAACTCTAAATTTTCACTCATGCTCCCTCCCACCTATTTTTTATGGATCATAAAAGGAAAGAGTGATGTTTCAGCAGGGATGAAGCCCTGGTAACAAATGTATATTTATAAACTATCATCAAAAATTGCCTCGCTCAATCAATTTTCCCTCAAACTACTCCTCATTGGGCTTGGAATGAATAATAATCTCCATAACAAGAAACAGATTTTGAACAGTCCAATCTTACCCTGAAACTTCTGTAGGTAAGTATGAAAGCCTTATTACAAAAATCTTAGTGAATGGAGCAGTCTGAAGTAGGTGGCAATGCAACGCAGTCTTAGAACAATGGTTGCCAGTATTTATTTACCAGTTTCTTCACTTTAAAAAAATGTTTTTATTGAGTTAGAAGAAAAATTGCCAAGAGCTGAACCCAGACAGATCATTGCAAGGAATCCTGCCTCCGTCTCCTCAACCACAAAGGAAAAATAACTCACCAGGCATCCCAAAGGAATGGGAAAGAACTATAAAGGGAGATGCAAACAGATGAGGACAGCTTTCTCTTCTTTAGAAGAAGGACTTCTCGACCGAAAAGCTTCTGAGTGAAATTGCTGTGGAAATTTGGCAAACCGGGCTGTGTTGGTGGCTAATTAAGTACATATTGTTCTTTTGTGACCTAGAGTCAGCTGTACAGAGTCTTGGCATTGCTGGGCTTCACAAATTGCAGTGTCAGTAGCAGTGTGCTGGCTGATGGACATGATAAAACAGCTCAAAGGTTATCTTGCAGTAGTAATACAGCACTTTGTCACGTTTCATAGTGTGTACTGAAATAAACTGATTCATCGCCTGTGCATTGCACTAAGACTAATAAAACTTAACTATCTTTCTGAATCATCCTGATTTGATTTTCTGCTAAAAACGTGAATTCCTTTTCCTGCAAACTAAAATCGAGTGCTAATGACTTCCGCTATTCTTGCAAGGTCAGGTATTTCAAGAAGATTTTAAAAAGTGACTAAAATACCTGAAACTCCTAAGAGTCTTAAGAGTGAATATTTCTCATAGATCCAGAGAGAACAGGGGCAAAAGAGGGGACAAAAGAAGCATCAAGTGGCTCTCAGGACTAGGGGGTGTTAAGGAATAGGGTTTGCTCATGATAAAGAAATGGCACCTAAAAGCAGAAAGAGTATTTCTGTCTTCCATCAATAAGATAGGGCTGAAGAGCCAAGGCCCATGAATAGCCAGATAAACAACAAGGAACAGACAAATATGATTTTTAAGGACAGAATCAATTATTGGAGAATTGTGACTGTCCTCACAATCAACATGGATGATTCCTGGGGAAAACAGTGTTGCTGGAACTTTCAGTGGGCTTTGCAGCATGGCGCGATTGGTGAGCTTTGGGATCAAGTCCATCTGGTTTTAAGCAACGGTACCAGTACTTTCTAACCATATGACTGCAGGCAGGTCGCTTTATATCTGCCATGTGATAACAATAATAATAATAATCTATTACATGGCAGAAACCAGAGCTTTGCATACATCATTCATGTAATTCCCACTGCATTAATACGATGAATATTGTATTAGAATCCCTGTTTTTCAGATGAAGGAGCTCAGATTTAAATATGTACAGCAACTTGTCTTTCAGAATGGAACAAGACTGGTGAAAGGAGTGGACCTAGAACTCTATTTGGTCTCTGGCTTCACTCAAAACACATATTTGATTCCCACTGAGTATGGACATTTAAGAAAAGCAAAGGGAAAAAGAAAGATTTATAAGCTCTAAAATTTCTGCAACAATTAGAGAGCTAAGTGAAAAATATTATTCTCATTTTCTGTATGTGACCTACTCAAGGTCACCCAACTAAGAAACGCCAGGGCCTGAGACTGGAACCCCTAACCAAGAGTATTAATCCAGTGCTCTTTCTACTAAAACACACACGACATCATTGACATCGGCATCTCTGTCAGCATAAGGCTGACCAGACAACTAAAGCGCCTACTTCTGGACTGGGGCTAGACACAGATCTAGTACAAACATCAGTGCAAAGTATATTCAGTTCATCTTGTCTCTCTCAGGACTAAAGGCTTTGGGGGCAAATCGTATCTTTTCCATGATCAGAAAAGGCTTTCATCACAATTATCAGGATTCTCCGCATTTCACACTGCACCTTCTCCTCCCTTTTAAGCAATACTTTGTGCAAGAGAAACCCACCACAAATGGTATCAAACCTAAAACAGAGCAAACCAATTGATCTTCAGAAGGTTGTCATAATTGTCCTGACTCTATTTGCTAATTATTGATGCTCTCCAGGTTTACAAAAGGATTTGTCCATCTGTTTTCCTAGTTTGAACCCACAATGAATTTGTGAAGGCAAAGCTGTGACAACAGCCTCCCTTCTCCGGGGCAACAGATTATGATGCTACACACCCAATTATTATATTACTGCAGAGTCCGCTCAGAAGGAAATAGCTGATCCCAGTACAAACTAGCTGAAAGGCCAGCAAATGGCAGGATAATAAAATAATAGTAACAGCTAACACTTATTGAGCGCTCACTGTGTGCCAGGCGCCACTCTAAGCACTTTACCATCTTAACTCTTTTTATCCTGCCAAGTTAATTATTTCCAGTATACCTCGCTGTCTCTCTAGCAAAGTTATCTGTGAACAGAAGAAAAAAAATTTAACCAACTTGACTATAGCATCACAGATCAGATTCTCCCGAGCTTCATTTCACTGACTCATTGCCTATGCTTCCGGTTATCCACACAGTTAATGGATTTTATATAAGAGCAGAATTAAGTGATGAAGACCAAATCTAAACAGCCTATCTCCAGAGTCCATTTTTCTAACTCCTACACTGTATCGTACCAGTGAGAAAATTGGGAAACAAGGAGATGAAATCAATTCGCAAAGGTTGCAATCAATAGAAACCATAGACTTACAGCATTTTAGGATTAATACAAACTTTAAAATATTAAGTGTAGGTATTCAAATACTGCAAGAGAATATTTCTTAATATTCTAAAAAAACCCAACTTGTACCATGTCTCTTTGCATCACAGGTCATATAAAGCTCAAGAAAATCAAGCAAGCACAACTTCATCCTAATCTTTGAATTTAATTTGGGGACTAGCCCTGACTGGTGGGGCTCAGTGGATACAGTGTCATCCCAGATACCAAAAGGTCACTGGTTTGATTTCCAGTCAAGGCACGTGCGTGGGTTGTGGGCCAGGTCCCCGGTTGATGCCATACAGGAAGCAACCAACCCATGTTTCTCTCACATATCAATGTTTCTTTCCCTTTCTTTCTCCCTCCCTTCCCCTCTCTCCACATCATGAAAATGAAAAAGGGAACTGACTGTATAGGAGGACATATTTGCCAATGACACATCAGACAAGGGTTTAATCTCCACAATACATAAAGAGCCCATACAATTCAACACCAGGAAGATGACCCAATTGAAAAATGAGCAAAGGATGTGAATAGACACTTCTCCAAGGAGGACATACAGATGACACATAGACATATGAAAATATGCTCAACATCACTAGCCACCAGAGAGATGCAAATTAAAACCACAATGAGATATCACCTCACGCCTGTCAGAATGGCTATTGTTAATAAACCAAAAAAACAACAAGTACTGGTGAGGATGTGGGGGAAAAGGAACCCTAGTGCACTGTTAGTGCAATGTAGGCTGGTGCAGCCACTGTGGAAAGCACTGTGGAGTTTCCTCAAAAAATTAAAAACGGAACTGCCTTATGACCCAGCGATTCTGCTGCTGGGATTATACCCTAAGTATCCTGAAACACCAATTCAAAAGAACCTATGTGCCCCTGTGTTCACAGCAGTGCTATTTACAATAGCCAAGCACTGGAAACAGTCCAAGTGCCCACCAATAGATGAGTGGATCAAAAAAGTGTGGTACATTTACACAATGGAATACTATGCAGCAGAAAGAAAATAGGAACTCCCATCTTTTGCGACAGCATGGATGGAACGGGATACTATTATGCTAAGTGAAATAAGCCAGGAGGTGAAAGATAAATACCATATGACCTCACTTGCAAGAGGAATCTAATGAACAAAGTAAACTAATGAGCAAAATAGAACAAGAGACATGGAAACAGGGAACAGACTGACAGCGGCCAGAGGGGAGCGGGGCGGGGGGTGGATGGTGGAAGGGGAAGGGACTAGTCAAACAACATGTATGAATGATGCATGGACACGGGCAATGGAGAGGAGACTGACTGTGGGTGAGAGGGGTGGGCTGGGTGGATGGGGGGCAGAGGGGGAAAAATTGGGACAACTGTAATAGAATAAACAATAAAAAATTCGGAGACTAGATATAAGTTACGCTTATTCCACAGCATTCCACTTATCATTTGTGAAAAAAATTACAAAGGCCAAGATTTAAAACGATTGCCTTCTGTTAGTAACTAAGGTGAAACACATGGAAAGAAAAAAACCTCAGGAGACACATTTAGTTAAAGACACACTTGGCCAAACACATCTCACATGTCCCATCTGGGCATCAACTCTTGAACACAATGCATGTCCCACTTGGCAGAATTCCCCTTTCTCGTTATCAGAAGGGACAGTTTAGAAGCATTAAAGTGTCAAGTAAAGAGATGAGGCCTGCTTTCAGTTCCCCTCTGGATCAGAGGTACTTGTAAACAAAATTTTCTCCTTTCATCGTGCTGAGAAATCCTGTCTCTTCTCCCCCTGCCCCACTACCTTAGTAACTCTCCCACTGATCTGAAAGTCTCTTGAAATAACATCGTTTAGACAGCAGTGCCCCAGAATCCAGGTAAATGAACCCAAGGAATGGGAATCTATGCATAAGCCACTAAATTGGAAGCTCTCAAACTAAATGAATTAGAATTACCTGAATATTTATTAAAGTGAATCCCATTAAGAGATTCTAATTTAGTGGGTCTGCGATAGAGCCAAGGAACCTACATTTTAAACAAGTGTTTAAGGTGAATGGGATGCAGAGGGTTCATTCAAAGGCCACTTCAAGGAACACTTCTATATAATATCATAAGCACTGGAGGGATGAGCATCCACCAAAGGAAGGAAGTATCTACATAAAACAGCAAAAAAGTGTCTGGGACAAGATACTTGTCCCTGCAGCTGGCAGCTGCAGGCACTGGACAAGATGATGCAGGCCAAGGTGGGGAAGCCTGGAAAGAACTGCGGAACTGCGGGCATTTGGAGGTGAATGATGACCAAAGATTAACTCTGCGGATCCAAAAAGTCTGCTTCGCTCTATATTCAGCTTACAAAATTGTAACACAGACATTGAAATTGACCCTAGATATGTAACATTCATACTGTGTTCAGTAGAGAGAATGACAGTCATACAAAGAGCCATAGTTAAGTATAGGACATTGGACTCCAAAAAGTCTCCTAAAACAAGAGCATAAGTGATATTTTGAAAATCACCATTTTTTCCCGAGTTTCACATAGGAGGCTTCATTTTCAGTTAGAAGCAAATGCTCTCCTTATTTTTCCAAGTTGTGAGCAAATAGAAAAACACGCTTTAAGTCATTCCCTTTCAACATCTTACCTTCTACGTTGCCGGATTCCTGATAAAATCAATAGTGTGATTGCAACTATGACGATACAAAATATCACACCAAATATTATAATCCAGACGGGCACAGATGGGTCAACAGGTGGTGCAAGAGTGGAAGGAATTTTTAAAAATTCCAGAGTCTGGTCATTCAAAGAGAAGGCATTATTGATCCGGTTCCTATTCATTCTAAAATAGAATGAAAATAAAAACAAACAAGTCAGAAAAAAATTAGATGCAGAAGATACAGACCTATCTCTCCATGATTATTCCTCTATAAACACAGCTTCCCCACAGGAAGAGACTTCAGGTTGACTAGAGAGTTTGATGAGCACATTCATGCTGTGGTATCGTTTCACAAGCTGCTGTGCTGACTGCCAAAAGAGGTGCTCTTCTATGCACTACTGCTCTCCATTTTTGCAGACATGGTAGCAGTAACCAGAAGTCTTGATCTTTGATATCTGCCCGCCGTGTTTTATTCCTGATAGGTAGCATCTCGATTAAAATGACAGGACTCTATTTAAGATGATTTACATAAATACCAACAGTCCAAAAAGATAAAATTATATGTTAAAAAGTAGGTGATGAACATGAGAAGAAAATAAAACCAGGAAGAGGGGAAAAAACGGGAACACAGAAGCAGCTGCAAATCCATCAGTTGGATATTCTTTTCTCCCCATCAATTCAACAAACATTTGTGGGAAACTTACTAAGTACGAGATATTGTGCTAGGTGCTATAGATACAAAGTAAAATAAAAATACTACAGACCTTACAGTCTAGAAGGATGACAGATTAGCCCCTCTACAATCACAGTGCAATGCAAAATGTTCTATGAAAGAGGCAAATATGGGCACAGTGGGGGAGCACAGCAGAGGGCTAGGCACATTATAGTGAGAGGTCAGACTTGCTCTCCTGTGAAGGCAACTTCTGAGTGGTGTTTTGAGGAACAAGTAGGAGTTCTTTATACCAAAGTGTGTAGTGAGCACAGGAATGGACACACGGTATAGTATGATTTGCTCAGTAAACTGCAAGCACTTCCATATGACTACAGTAAATGGTGCTTTAGGAATCTGTAAGTCTAGAAAACATAAAGGTAGATGTGCTACTTTTCCTGGGGGAAACCTGCATTTTTGGTGGTGGTAGCAGTTAGGGAAGGGTTGGTAGCAAAGACTTATTTGACTGAATACAAAAAAGTGAGTTTCTAAATGGAATTTGAAAACTAAATGAGAAGATTTCTTGGAGATACTGTATGGCCCTTACTGAATTCACACTAGACAAGCTGACATCATCTACCTCTAGAGCAGCCCTGAAAAATAGAAATATAATGTAAGTCTCATATGTGACTTAAAATTTTCTAGGAGCTATATTATTTTAAAAAAGAAATAGGTGAAATTAATTTTAATAATATATTTTGCTCAATATATCTAAGAAAATATATTTTCAACAAATAATCAATATTGAGTGGGTTCACATTTTATTTTGCACTAAGTCTTTGAAATTCAATGTGCACTTTACACTTAGAGCATATCTAATCTTGGACTATGTTTCCAGGGCTCAATAGCCACATATGGCTGGCGACTACTATATTGAACAGTGCAGGTATTGACCTTGATAGTAAAGGCTTGAGAACCTCTGTAGACCCACACCAAGCTATCAGGAAAGACCTCCTTTAGCAAATAAAAACCTATGCTAAGGCATGATTGTTCATGAATATAAAGGAAGATCACAACCAGACTATCTACAGCGGGGCATAATTTCAATGTAATTTTTACCAAACTGCAGAATGTTTTCTTTTTTAAAACCTAATATTGATAATCTGGGAACACAAACATTTCCACAAAATAATGAACCCCACTACTAAGATCTAACTCAGAGGAAAATGAAAAGTAGCTCTGCATTCTCATTCTATCTACCTGGTTGGTTAACTCTTTGCTATTCTGTCACCTCTTTGGCTAATGAGAAGTTCTAGTTCAGTACAGACCAAACCTCAGTCCACCACTGAAATCCGCAATAGATATCAGTTAACAAGAATGTCTTTCAGCCAACACTGGCCTTGAATAAGGGTAGGTCCTCACAAAACAGCTAAAATAGACATCTTAGAACTGGTCAGTCATTCCCTCACCTCATACGTATAAATACACTAATAGAGAGAGAGAAAAAAAATCAGTGGACATGGTGGCAGCATGCCTGGTTTCAAGTCCTCATTCTTTATATTTCTAGCATGGTGGCCCTGGCAAATCAATTAATCTCCTGGAGCTTCCATTTCCTCCTCACTTATAAACCAGGAATAAGACTAATGTCTCAAAAATCACTGGTGTTGGTATTAAATGCCACAGGTGCATAAGAACATGCCTTGTGAACCAAAAAGTGTTATGCAAATATTATGTGGAACTAGCATCATTTTGCCCACCATGCAGATTCTTCAGCATTAAAATTCCCCTTACCGCCTTCTTTTCCCTCTATCCTTGCCTCTTGGTATTGCTTCCTTTATTTTCATACAATCCTGATGAGCCCTATCCATTCCCTGACATAAATTCCCATTCTGTTAGCCATCCTCACTCCCTATATAGCTTCTCCTGCTAGGACCTTGGAAATAGATATCTTGTGAACATGTTCACCTACATCCTCAACCCTCACTCCAAACACCTGCTCTTCTTCCTCACGTGAACTGAAGCCTGATTTAGTCACAGTGCCTTCATTTTCCTTGTGCCCCGCAAAATCACAGGGCTCGCATAAAATCCCTTTTCACGTGAAATACAATATTCCTGATTCTTATTACCTAAGCGGTGGATCTAAACAGTATTCTTAGTAGCAAAAAAGCAAGAAAAATTCAATTCAAACCTGCTTGTTAAAGCAGATTAAATCTTTCCCATTGATACAGATCATCAAAGACTGCTTCAGCAAGGGAAACAGATGATTGTTCACACACAACCTTTGTCATTTGATTATATACTAATTATCTTAAATGTTAATATTTTACAGAAAGCCAATGAGTTCTTCCACTAGATTCTTCTCCTTGGTAAAGAGAATAATATGCATTTCAGTAACTTACAAATCTTTTGTAAAGAGTTACTTTGTTTCTTTGTTTTTTCCAATATACCTTTGCCCAACATCAATCATGTGTGGGACTGGAAGTTTTGGCACAAGAAATGAACATTAATTGAAATAAAAACAAATTACATCCTTCTGCTTCTCTGAAGTAAAGAATACATTTCACTTTTGAAAGTTTGTTATGATCACAAGGAGAGTAGGAAAAGGAACTGTCAGGAAAAACTGTGCAAATCTGTTTTTTTACATTTTATATGTTTGTTTAGAGAGAGGGGAAGGGAGGGAGAAACACAGGGAGAGTAACATCAATGTGAGAGAGAAACATCAATCGGTTGCCTCTCCTATGGGCCCCAACCGGAAACCAAACCCACAACCCAGGCATGTGCCCTGTGATCTTTCACTTTGCAGAACTACGCCCAACCAACTGAACTATACTGGTCAGGGTAAAAATTGTGTTAATCTTGAAATGGGTAAAAAATATCACAGTGTCTGGCAAGTGCACCTTTCTGGACAGTTTCTACCATTTATTGTCTTTATTTGCAAGTCTGTAAGTTGTGTATAAAACTAACATAATGTAAATTATTCCTGTCCACATAAAATCAAGTGAATTGTGTCTGATGGAACATGACTGACGACTACCTGACGCACAGACTGGTGCATCTTTTTGTAAATGAATATCACCATTCCTCGACTTCTATGTATGCATGGTTCCTTGAAGTCTCATTTGGACTAGTTTTAACATTAATTAACTAGTTTCCTCATTAATTAATGAAATAATAAAGTCTTTGATAGAATTTATTTTTGGCTTGTATGAACCATGACTTGACCATTTTTTAAAAATACCTTTTAAAAAATGGTAGTCACAAAACAGTCATGGGGATATAAAGTGCAGCATAGGAAATACAGTGCAAAATAATGTAATAGCTACGTACAACGCCACATGGAAACTTGAAATATGGAGGGAACACTTTATAAAGTTTATGATTATCTAACTACTATGCTCTATACTTGAAACTAATACGAAACAATATTAAATGTAACATGTAATTGAAAAATTAAAAAATTAAATTAAAAGGTATCTTTTAAAGATAAAGACTATACATTGACTAAGGAAGGTAAGTCCTTAAAGACTCAAGAAATCTGAATATTTTTATGGGTTTTAAATAAATGTCAGAGGTATGACTTGTTCCTCAATATATCTTATGTTTAATCTTCTCAACAACTCTGAGAGAGGAGTACCATAATTATTCTCATTTTATAAATGATAAGAAGAAAGCAAAAGAGATGAAATAATTTGTCTATATTCAAATAATTAGTAAGAGTTAATTAGTAAGAGTTAAACCAGAATTAAAAACCTAAGTATTTGGGTTCCAGAATCGATCTGATGAACCATCAAACAATACTGCTGTACAAGGTGTCCTTGCTAAAAGAAGACAGCACTAAATATCCTCAGCTAATATTTAAACAGTATCTCTCAGCCACAGCACAACTCACATTTGGGCTTGAATAATTCTTTGTTGTGAGGTGCTGTCCTGGGCCTACTAAGGTGTTGAGCAGCAGCCCTAATTTCTGCCTACTAGATGCTGGGGGCAACCTTCCTTACCCATGTCCCACCCCACCCCCCGAACTGTGACCACAAAAATGTCTGTAAACATTGCCAAGTATCTCCTAGGAGGCAAAATTACCCCCGGATGAGACCCGCTGTTCTACACTAATCTCTGATACAAACAAACAAAATTAAGGTTTTGACATCTAATAAGTAAATATCGTGAAGCAGGGAGAAAATCCTTTACTACCTATGAAAAGAGTTGAATTAATCAATAAGTAGATTTACTGGTAGAAGGCATATTTCACAGTGATTACCTTATGGCTGACTGTATCTCATCAGCAGGAAGGGTGTGATTTTTCGAAGGATCTGTAACCACAAACCAGAATGACACCCGCTGGGTCACATTGCAAAGTAGGACATGGGAAATACTGCAGATGAGAAGAGGAAAAAAAACTGTAAGCAAAAAATACCAAATTTCATCAGACCATCCACTCTGGTATTATCGTCATCTTAAGAGATGTCTTAGCTCTCAATGAAAAATCATTTCTACCATTATGAAGAAAGATCTTATTAAGAATAAATTTATATAGAAGTTTACTTGGTTTCAAAATCATATACTTGAGGACCATTCTTTAAATAAAGAATCTACCCAAAAAAAATTTAAAAAAGAGTGACCTAGTAGGCAGCTTTAGGGGCCTCATTCTCCATCACCTGTTGGCTGACAGTTCCCCTGCATCCCCAACACCTCGCCTCTCTGACCCACAGAGGCTGCTCAGACCCAGATAAATACAGTGCCCACTCTTGATCCAATACTTGCTCTGATGAGCACAATTGCTATCCCTCTCCCATCCGGTACTGGGGCTGGACCAATACCAGACCTCCGAACTGAAGGGCTACAATCAGTTTACCATAGGCCTTTGGACACTGTTTCTGCAGTTACCTGCTTTGCAATTGAAAATTAGAAAACATACCTCCCTCTAAGCTTATAAATGGATTACCAGTAGAAATGACAAAGAAATGGCATTGTTGTTTAGAATGAAGACGTTCTATATATGTGATATGAAATTTATGAAGGCTGAAAATTATAGAAGAGTCCATGTGAAATCAACATTGTTGGCACTAAATGAAAAAATCCTGAATGAATCTCACCACTTCCTTAAGAGCAAAACTGCCAACAGGGACATTAGCAACTGTTCCAGAAGAAGGAAACATAAATCCCCTTTACTAGTAAATGCAAATTCGTTGTTTTTCCCTAAAAGAGCATTGAAACATATTGTGTCCATTTTTACAGTGAGGAAAGTGTCCTTCTGTCAATTTTCCGTACTTTTCAGAATTTGATGGAAATGATTATATTCTCTCTCTAAATGTCAAGTACAGGAGTCAAAGCCTCTTAGGCCCCAGAGGCTTTGCCCAGAGCCAAGCGCCTGGGGCCAGCAGTGGGAAGCTGCGGTGCCCCAGCCTCAGGGGAGTGCAGGGGAGGGGTGTTGCTGGCCGGGCGCGTGCAGGACCCGGCACACAGAGGGTCCCCATATGCCAACACCCCACGTGCTGGCCTTGCCCTCCGATGCCAGCAACCTGCTTTGACTCTCCAAACCGTGAATTTCTGGGACCAGAACTGCCCCTGGGAGACCCCAACCACGCAGCACCGCAATCGCGGGCAGCTAGCTGAGCAGGTACCAAAGCACAGCCGAAGCCATGATGCTGCCTCCCGCCACGGCTCACACCCTTTCCACCGCCCCAGTGCGCCCCTTCCCATACAGGGAGCAGTGCCCGGTCTCCTACATGCCCACGTGGTCCTCCGGGACTGGCCCCAAATCCTGGCCAACATACTGAGCCAGAATCAGGAGGGAGGAGACGTCCGAAGCTGGGGGGGCGCTTTCCCAGCCAGCCAGCAGGTCAGAGCCTCGTGGGGCTGCACTTTTCAGGCCATCAGAAGAGAATCATGAAGACGTGGTTTGGAAATGCCCGCCACCCCCAACGCATCAGGAGCCCAGTGACCATCAAAATTGCTCCTCCTCACTGCAAAGGCAGCTGCTTCTACACGCGTCCCCCACTCAAGAGCACCCCGACCCCTGTACCCCAGAGACCGTGCTGAAGGCTCTCCCTCCGCCAATGCGAGAAAGGCAGCAGGAGCTCAGACCCGTCTGGTGGGAGACCGCGGACACAGAGGGCATGAGGCAGAGCCCAGGGCCGAGCCAACTGCCTTCAACCGCAGAGAGAAACGGAGGGATCTTTTCCCTTGTTCCCAGACGGGGAGGAGGCGTCTTTCCCCCATCTGGCCAGTTGTATCCTCACGACTGTGTGCTTATTTTAAATAACCGTTATAGGCATCGCTAGTATCCTGGAGGCTGTCATGCCCTTTCTTGAAGATACACATAACGGGACTTCTTCCCTGCCCCAGTTTCTCACCTTGGCGCTGTTCACACTTGGGGCCAGGTAATTCTTCGCTGTTTGTTGGGCGCTGCCCTGTGCATCGCAGACTTTTAACGCAGTGCCCGGCCTCTGACCTCTACGTGCCGGCCGCATTCCCACCTTGTGAAAATGGTGCCACTGCCAAACATTCCGGGGGGTGCGGGTGGGAGCTTGGGGGGCGTGCGTGTGTCTCCAAACCACAAAAATGACACGGGTAAGAACCCCTGGGGGACAGTGACCTCTACTGGCAGAAACAGTCAAGCTGGGGCTCCAAAAAACGTGCGCTTCTGGAACACATCCAAGATTCGGAGAGGAACAGAATGAAGTGCTGTGTGCTTGGCAAAACACCTCTCCAGTTTTGTAGAGTGCCGCAGCACGCGATTTTGCCCTTACCAATAGTCAGGCAGTGTAACGTTTTTCCTAAGTGAGCTACCCGTGCAAGCTCTTCAGGTTGGCCAAAATTAAAAATGCGAAATAACAACAAATGCTGGTAAAGACGCAATGGGAATCCCAGGCAGTGCTGTGGGTGCCAGTGGGTCCAGCCATTCTAGCAGTGTTTTCTAGAACAGCGTGTGGCTACCAGCAATTCTCTTGCATGCAGAGGGGGAGAGAGCGCACGCGCAGTTAGGATGTTCTCGGAGAAACTCTGTCGGAGCTGAGGACTGGAACCACGTCAATGTCCATCAGCGGGGAACAGAGCAAGTGAACCTGGCACGTGCTATCGAGCGAGTGAGCGAGGGAGCACTAGTCCACAGGTTCGAGGGAAGAGAGCCCAGGGTTTCTCCACTCCTGGGCTATCGGGGCAGGTAAGTCTCTGTCAGGCAGGCGTGCTGGGCATTTCAGGATGTTTAGCAGCTGCCCTGGCCTCTGTCAAGTAAGTGTCATCAGGCCAGCTCCCATAGTGACCATCAAAAATGTCTCCAAGCATCGCCAGATATCCCTCGAAGGACAAAAACCACCCCCAGTGGGAAGCGACCGAACTAGAGCTACACATTTTCTCATAAAGGGATATACCTCAGAAAATGCATTATCGAATGAAAAAGGCAGGGGGTGGAATGTCACGTGAAGCACATGCCAGTTATATAAATTAAACACGCACACAGTAATACTGCCGGCACCAGGGCAGAGGCTGGGAGCCAGGGAAGAGGCCATTTGAACGCTTTGCCTATGTTTTTCTTTCCATCTGAAGTGTCCTTAAATACTAGTCAAACAGGAATTTCGTGGTATTTTTCGTTAGAGAGTCCGAGAATGTGCTGTAAACAAAGCAAAGTCCCTTCTCCCGTGGAGCTTGGTTTCTAAGTGAGTGGAGACAGAAGATAACCAAGTGAATAATGTACACACTGTCAAGTGGGGAGAAGCGCTATGAAGAAAAATTAGAGGAACGCATGCACTGCACCGGCGCAGCAGCGGCCCCCGTGCTCCCTGCTTCCCCTCTCCATGGAACTCTACTGCCCCTTCCCATGAATTCAGGCTCTTCACTCAGTGTTTCTTTAAGGTGGCAACCCATGCTTTCATGTAGCACCTTGGCAAACAAAGTAATAAAATATAAATATCAACTCCAAAATAAAGATTTTCAAAAGATTAAAATGTTGCTAAAAATACATCTTCAATGAAGGCCATTACTGTTAGATACAAAAAGCCTTGGACTGAAACTCTACAAAAGAAACTTTTATTTTAAAGATTACTTCCTGTCATTCGCTGGACTTGGGACGAGGCATTTCATTCTACACCAGTTACTAGAAAGGAGCTGAGATCTTAGTGTGTCGATGAAGGCACTGCTGCTGTTTTGAGTAGGAAATGCCTTGTTATGTGGAAATGTCCTGAGACTGGTATCACATTGATTATCTCTCATCCCCACCCTCTAAATGCCAGAGCAATCTCCAGGCATAGATATAAGCCAACAACATACACATTTCCATATGCTACAATACATGGCTGGGGTCAGTACCATACCCAGGTGAGAAACACGTATAAATCTCTGTAGATGCATAAAGGTCATGAAAACCAAAGGAAGATGGAGAGACTATCAGATTGGATCAGCTTAAAGAGGAATGGATTCTAGAACAGAAAGAGAAAACTGGTGTAAAAAAAGGGAAGTCTGAAAATGCTATAGTTTAATAATATTGAGTCAATGTCAAATTCTTAATTTTGATATATCTGCCATGGTCGCTTAACATAATAACATTAGGAAAATGGGTGAATTGGGTACAGCACAATTTCTCAACTTCAGCACTATTACATTTCAGGCTGCCTAACTCTTGCTTGTGAGAAGCCGTCATTCTTTTGAAGGATGTATAGCAGCATCCCTATGCTCTGCACATTACATGCCCGCAGACATTTCCAAATATCTGTGGGAGCGGCGGAGGCACAAAATAGTCCCAGGATGAGGGCTCTTGGTACATGGAATCTCTCTGTATTATCTTTGCAACCCTTTTATGAATATACCTTTTTTTCAAATTAAATACAAATACAGGCACAGAGCAGTTATTTTTAAAGTTCCCTACGCACGCTAAAATCATCTACAAGAATAAAACAAGGGAATGCATTAATAATGGTTCTTACCGGCTTCATTGATGAAGATATAACAAATACACATATACTTAGAATAAGGAAGAGCTGTATTCACACCTGAAATAATGGGAACTGTCAAGGTAAGGGTGCTGTTAATACTTATTAAAAACTAAAATTTGGTTCTGCTGTGTATTCAACTGTATGAAGTGTTGGTCAGAATACCTCCGACTGTACTACTGCCTTAGGAAGCACCATTTTTATCATTTACCCAAGGTTGATATTAGCCAAAAAAAGGGGAATAGTTTTAACTCAGTCTTAACAGACCTCATCACAAGAAAAGAATCCTGCAACTGTGTGTGCTGACAAATGTTAACTAGACTTCTTGTGGTGATCATTCCCCAATGTATACAAATCTTGAACCACTACGTTGTATGCCTGAAGCTAGTATAATGATGTATGTCAATTATACCACAAATAAATAAACTAGCCAATAGCACAGCTAAAT